CTTTTTAGTACAATTAAGAGGAAAGCAGCATCACTAAAGTGCTGCTGTATTTTGACTTTTTAAATTCTATAGAATGTGAAATGACTGCATTGCTACTCTTGCTTTATGCACATCAGAGAGAAAATGCACAAACTTAAAGGCAGCAGAGAGCTTTTTTTTTTAAACAAAAAACCCCCTCTTCTGTGATTATCCTGTAAAAGATTTCCCATTGCCCACTGCTCTCCTTCTAGAGAGCAAGAGATCAGAAACTGTTCAGTCTAATTGGTGAGTCTGTATGACAGTGAGCTGCCTTATTTCATGTATGGTGTAGAAATAAATGAGTGCTTAAACCCTTTGAAACACACCACTACTGCAGAAGCCATAGGCTGTAATTAAATTGAATGTGGGGTGGTATTGTCTTGTGCCCTTGGCTATAAACTTGATAACAGACCATGGTACACCCACTATTGTGTTAGGAGCTGGAACCTAATTAGTGGTGTTGTAGATTTTCAGTCACTTTCGAAGCCCTTCTGTTCATCTTTTTCCCCCGTGTCCTTTCTTCCTTATTATTTTGCTTTTCTATTTCTGAAGCAATAAATGCACCCTTCTTTTCGGAAAGAAATCATTGAGGGCATGTAGCCAAATATGTACGTGCAAGATAATTTTTTTATCATATTTTGGATTTAAGGGACAAATGTTGGTAACTGCATTTTATCTGATGTAGAAGAGATTTATTAGTGTTGTGATAGTAAAAATATGTAATCGTGTTTCCAGGGAACGTTTTTGAAGTATCTTTCAGGCATTTGAAGGGGGAGTAGGGAAGGGATTGGAACTTCTCATAATACCTTGATCTCAAAGTAACATTGGAAGACGTACAACTGAATTCTGTTCTGGTTGTTTTTGGGGGGATTATCCACAAGGAAAAATGGCTCTTCCGGGCTTTTAGAAATTCACGTGCTTTTGCACTCAGCCAGTTTTAGTTAGTTGATCTCAAAGCCTTCAGACTTGCTAAGGACTTAATCCTTAATGAGGACAAATGCCTTTGATGTGTTCTTAATGCCATTTTTAGTTTGGGAAATAATAAAAGTTGTAGTGCACAGGTGCAGTGTACACATTTCCAGTAAGTTCTTAGTTAATTCGTATGCTTACCTGTTGTATGCATCTGTACGCTTCTGTAGCTAAGATATAGCACTTAAATTGAAATGGAGTGAAATTTTTAAGCCCTATTCACTTTACCAATGTATGAAAACATTTTTTTTCACTGTATGTTGAGGGCACATCTGCTCCATAGAACACAGTCCTGCGCGTAGATACTTGAGCTCGCACCTACTCGGGGCTTCGGACTTGCTTCGTGCGCTGGCCTGGGCAGTGCACTGTGCTGACGTGGTCGGCAGGGTTTCTGGTGCTTAAACTGGGCGGTGTAGCCTGGATAATGCGTTATCGTGAGCTTTTGGGTGATCACTTCTCTTCAAACAGTGGCACCAGCAGTGTGAAACCGATGCTTCTCCTCTGATACTCTCATGATTTTCTGCTGGGGAGCAACAGGAATCCAGGAAGACAAAACTGGTGTGATCTGCAGGGAGGCATGGACTGTAAATTCCTTTGGGAAGCTTCCCTGGGGTGGGAGTAAGAGAGGAGGTGTGAGGGTAGCTTTTTGGGTAGTGGGGGTAGCTCATGGGGTTCGGTAATTTGTTTGGTGCTGTTCATGTAACATGGACTGGAGCACTTGTCCTTGCAAAAGGAGGAAGGCAGAAATCTCTTTGAGAGGTGAGGTGCGAGGATGAATTTTAGCTTTCCTCTGTTTTCTTATCCCAAAGATCTTGTGGAGGTGCTGCGGTGATTTCTGAGCTTGGCTTATCTCTAACACAGTGCTTCATTTCTCTGTCTCCTCCTTAAAGTGCCCAGGAACCGGGCATGGTGATGCTGTCATTTGTTTTGGTTTGTGTTTTTGGAATGAGGAGTGGAAGGAAGAGGAGGCTGTGTAGTTGGGACTCTTGTGCTTGGTAGCTGTAATGCAGGAGCCACAGCTCTCAAACTTCCCTGCAAATTGGCACCTGTGTATGCTTTTACTACTTCTGCATCTGTCTGTCAGAAAGGTAATGCATAAATGAATGACTTCCCTAAAACACCACTGTGTTTTAAGCTCCTCTTTTTTTTTTTTTTTTTATGTGTGTCCCCTTATGTATGTTTAAAATCAAGGATTGCTGGAGAAATGTCAAGAGTGATTTCTCAACACCCTTCAGCTGAATCCTGAGCTTTCACTCACTGCACCGATCTATACAGTTGCTGCTTTCGCTGCTGTTGATTTTTCCTCATATGTTTCTAGCAGACTTCCAAAGTGGCAGGAAGAGGTTGGTCTGGACGAAGGAGAGCAGACTGTGTCTGATGCTTTGACTTTGAGTTAGTAGGTCCAGCGTAGTTGTCCTGAACTCTTACTCTAATCCGGGGTTACTGGGTTGCGAAGCCTGTGCTCGCCTTGCCGGTGTGAGCTCTTGTTTCACGGGTGAGGTGTCTGCAGTGCACCCGGAGGAACAGCACCGAAACTCTCAGGCGCCCTAGGAAATCATCAGTGGTTAATTACTGAGCGTCCTCCGGCTTCAAGCTCCCCTGGAGAAGAAGCAGCGGAAGCGTGTGGTGTGGCTGGCTGGCAGGGGGGTGGGAGCACGATGTGTGTGGGTTTAGCAAGAAAGAGAAGGGGAAATCCGGTCACGTTGCCCTCCTCACCTCAGTTCTGCTTGGGGTGGGTTTAGACCATTTTCTGCATGTGCCTGAGATATGGGGAAGAGGAGGAGTGAGGAAGGTGAAGTGGGCTTAAATAGCTTGCTTTCCTCCTCCTTTCTTTCAAGGGCTGGCTGTTACCTGTGACATGCCTGATAAATTCCTTCCTTCGGACTGAAATCGCCCCGTTCAGAAGCAAGTGAGTCGTCTGAAGTGCTGTAATTAACCTATGTAGTTTTGATGCCAGATTAGGAGGACCTAACTGTGAGAGCTAGGTTGACAAGTTGGAAAGTGTAAACAGGAGCACAGATCCTGTAACAGCCAAACCCACTGGCTGTAGTACGAATGGTGTGTGAATGTCAGATAAAGAGGGAACCTGCTTGAATTGGTTGCCTTTTTGAGGGTTTCCCAGTGTTTCTAATAATTTTATGACTAGCAGTGCTCGCATAAAGGATGCTTTTGTGCGCTTCCTCCTTGCCTCAGATACAGCAGCGATACCGGCTGCAGCTGTTTATCGCAGGAGGTAGCTAGAAAATTGTTACAGACCATGTTTGCGATGGTTGGGAGATGATGCTTTGTGTAGGCTTTTATCAAGTTTATCAGTACTAGTTTCCATATCGGGTTCAGAAAACATACTGTGTTTTTTCTGTCATCATAACACTAGTTTCTGGAAGCTTTCCCTAGACCATTGCAAGACTAGGTTCACATTGCTCCATTCTTTAAAATGCTTTTTTTTGGGAGGGGAAATAGTAAGATGCTCTAAGCATTGGGTTGTGGCAAATAACCAGTTCAGAAAGCAGTGTTCAGCCTCTCAGTATATTTTACACTTTGTCTTCTCTTTCATTTTGGTAGTGCTGAAGTATGTATCTTGTCGATTATCCCTGTATGAAAATAGTTTCCCACTCTTACTCTAATCAGTGACTGGCAAACTTGGGAGTGGAAAAGCAACTGTTCTTGGGGGCAAAAAGCATAATGCAAAGCTCTGTGGTCCATGAAGTCACATGAGGAGAATGAAGATCTCTTGAACTGATTGATGTTGATGGGTATATGATTTGTTTCCAGCACAAACACTTGAAAAATTTATATTCTTTAGCAGGGATAGCAATGCAAATCTCCCAGCCTTTCACTCTGGTTCGTTTACCGAAGTACTGTTTGAAAATAAAACAGGCAGAGTGGGGCTGACATGGTTTCAGCGTCAGGCTTAAACTGCTTCAAAATCGTCTTTCTGAAGCTGCTGCCAATCCAAAGCACTATGGGTAGCACAGTAATGATTTGATTTTTTTAAATTTTTTCTTTAAAAAAAGCAGAAACAACTTGAATATCCTGCCAGAACTTTGTAGTTTTGCCTTCCTTTTTGGGTATTTGACACACTTCTAAGGCAGCCATTTCTGGTTTTATGTCTTTAGAAGTCTTTGCAAGTTACTTTTTTTTTTATTTTTAAATGCATTGTTTTTGAAGTTCACCTGCATTTGCCAGCTGGTTTCAAATAAAACATTGTGAGGCTCTTTGATATCTCTTAAGTAGGACCTGGATACACTGAAAGTACTTTTAGATCGAAGCTGTTCCCTTCACTTTTAGGAACTGAAAAGTATCAAAAGTAAGGAATGCCAAAAAAAAGAAAGCTAAGGAAAAGCCAGGTTCATTGTAACTAGCAAGTACAAATGTCAAAACGGGTATTGAGTTTAACATGTACAGTGACTCAATACTGAACACAGAGTTAATTGAAATACTAATGCATTGGTGTATGGAAGTAGCACTACACTACTGTGTAAATGGCAAAAGTATCCCCATGCTACAGAGGATGAGAATGCAAGACTTTTTTTAAAGTTTACTATGGTAATTCATTAGGAAAGGATTCCTCATGCTTGTGCTAAAGTGGAATTTTAATCAGTTTTCCTCAGTGTGGTATATTCATTTCCAATCTGCTAATAGGTATATTCAGCATCATGAATATAATAGTAGGCTAGATTTGCAGTACAGGATAATGATGTGGTAGTCATTGTTCCCGTCACGTAAAACGTATGGCAGACACTTTCAGAAGCTTATGTGCGTTGTTTTAATCGTTGAGAGACAGCAAAGCATCAGGTCAAATCTGTGTCTTTCCTGGAAAAGATATAATAGCTGATAACTAGTTTATTTTTTTTTTAGATTTCACGAGGCCAATGTCCAAATTTTTGCTAGAAGGCAAAGCACCCCCTCCCCTTCTGTGCTTGTTAACTTAGTTGATTATTCTAACTTCTTAAAGCATTTCTATTTCTGTAAAGCACTGGACTGATTCCACTGGACACTTTTTCTTGCTACAGGGTTGCGAACTTACAGATGTTGGTAGCTGTAGAATGCTCAGGTGTGGTGATTTTCTGGCATTCCTCTTGGGTGGGGGCGCCGAGCCCTCGGTGGCCTCGTCCTTCCTGCGGCCAGCCAGCTCGGGCTCCGGCATGCAGGCACGCCGCAGGGATGCTGGGCGCCGCTGCCAACAGCCTGCCGCTCCGGGCTCCGCGGGTCTCCTCGGGCTTTCCTCTGGAAAAGGAAACTGATACCATTGGCAAAAACTAAAATGTCTTCCCCCCGCAATTCTTTATAAAACTGAAAAGCTCCAAAACAAGCCCCAGTCTGAAAAACTTTTATTCTCTTTAACATTAATGATAGTGGCCTGACATAGCTGCTACCTCCTGTATCTGAAGGGGCTAGATTTTTAGGAGGGGAGGAGGGCAGAGATGAGCTTATCGACCTATCTGGAGGTCAGGGAGAGGGGGTTAAATAACCGTGTTAGTAGCAGAATTTTGAAGGCAGAGCATAAGAATTTTGTGAGAAAAGAAAGATCTGGAAAAAAATTGAAATGGAAAAATAAGGAGGAGAGGGAAAGCAGGGTGAAAAAACGTTACCAACTATCTTGTTGCAGCACATCAGTTTGGAAGCTAGATTAATTGCTGTATACCAGTGTGCTTCTGCTGGATTAGTTTGATGGATTCAAGGAGTGGTAAATAATACTTATGCTTCAAGAGGGACTAAAACTGAAAGAAGAAATTAGGATTAAAAAAAATCCTTTTCTCCTGACATTAAACAACAAATGTAGTAGGCATTGAAGCAAGATTTGATCAAGGAATAGATAGACCCAGAGGTCTTTCTACTTTTAAAGAAATGCTAGAGCAAAATGTAAAAGAACAGTGAAAAGGAGGATGGGGGAAGAGTCTAGGTTTTCTTCAACTGTCAAGCTGGTTAAAAGAAAATGAGTATGACGTAAACTAAGTACATTATATTCTTGCCTCTTATGGCCACTAAAATTTAAAGATTTTTTTTCCCTTAATCTTAAAAAATGTGACATTTAACCAGTGGCTTCCTATAGAATTTTGTGTCAGAGTAAGCATTGGTTCTTGGGTATGTATCTCAAAAGAATCCACTGTCAGTGCTGTGGTAAAATGGCCTGTAAGCATTGTGTTTGTTTGTTATGTCTAATGGACAATAAACTAGTTTCCTCAAGCTACTTGAAATACTCCTTGTAAACTAAAGTGTCCAGATCAATTTCTATTCACATCTTATTAAAACTCAGTGAGGAAGTTGGGAAAAGATGGTTTTTATCAAAGTGCTGTATAAACTAGTCATCTACTCCATTAAACTTTAAGCTGCTTCATAAAATTCCTGAGAAGAACCCCGGTGGGTTCCTGCTTTCAAAGACAGCTTCATCCTACCTGCATGCCAAACAGAGAGAGAGAGAAGACAGCTCCACTGCGTGATGGGAGGGCACGTCGGAGGGCTACGGGGTCTAGAGAAGAGGAGACGGAGTCAGGTTTTTTCCCATGTTTATCTGACTTGCAGTTTCCGAGTGGAATACTAAGATTGTTGAATCACTTCTGTGAATAGCTGTCTGCATCCAAAATGGCTTGGGTATGCCAGTCTGTTCTGTGTATGTTAATGCCTGTATGTTTGTTGTGTCGTCAGTTTGTGTTATATAGGACAACCTTAAATGACCCTGTGGTGTGCTTAATGGAAACACCTTTTTTCCCCTAAGGAAATGAATGTAGGGTCGTAGCTCTGAGAAGTCAGGAATTTTTTGTTCGTTCTGGTGATAGATGCTGGATGCTAGCTTTCAGCAACCGTTCCAGAGAAGAAGTTAAGCTGCCATCATACTGTACTCCGCTTTTTTCACAAATACATTTTAAACTTCTGTACTGGCTGTTTTCAGATCCTGCTTCTGTCAGGTTTCTGCCTATGAATCTTCATGAATAGGAGACCTCAGATGAGTATTTACAGCATCTGTTTGCATGCTTTATAGATGCAGCTATATCAAGATACATGGTTATGCACTTTATAAGAAACTTATTCAAGGAGAGGTGTTAATCTGATCAGTAATAACTACTGCTTGGCAATGGTAGGGGGATGTTTGAGCACTGTTGCAAAAGCAGTAATGCTGTGTTTTGGAGATGTTGTCAAATACGCTGGTTTTGTTGTGACTTGAAAATTAAAACTTTGTGTTTGACTGTGGAAAAAAGTACGTGAGAAGTGGCCACCACAACATAAAGCCTCCGTGGAGCGAGAAGTGTGCCGCCTGTGTTCCAGCAGGTTACCACCATGAGAGTTAGAAGTTGTGCTTCAAGAGCTAGGAGATGGCAGTGTTGGAGATGGTGTACCACCCGATTAAAGGCTATCGGGAGGAGACAGGCTACATGACCAAGAAAGCTAGTGAGAGATGTTAATCTGGATATACCAGCAGTCTAGTCCAAAAAGAGGATGGGGAAGAAAGTCCACATCTGTAGCAATGGAAAGTCATTAACTGTTCTTAAAGCAATTTTTCTTGTGACTTATGTGAAAATTAGTGGTTTCCGTCAGATCCTAGTGGACAAATGTCCTCACAAGGGAGGAGTCTACCAGAACTGACACTAGTTGTCACTCCTGTTGGCAGCCAGAGTGGCGAGGGGGGAAAGAGCTGCCCTCACCCCAGAGGTGAACTGACCATCAGGACTGGCTGATAGCCACACGAGAAGGCTTGCTCTGCTGATGCTGCAGTTGCTGTCTGGATGGGCTGCTGGGCTGTGAATGTGATGTTATCTAAAAGTAGCAGATTCCTGTTCCAATTTAAGTGGAAAAACAAGGCTAATGGACAAATTCGTACCCACAGTGTTTTTCACTGATTGAGAAAAATAGCAGTTTGTGTCTCCGTCCTCCTGGCTTTACCGTCATCTTCATATAACTGTGCTGACTTTTACTGATGGCTTCTTGTGTCTAATCATTTCTTAATGAGGTGGACGAGTATATCTTATTTTATTCTGCATGGGCTTCTTTTTGTCACTCGTTCTTCTTTCGCTCCACTCTATTTCCACTCCAGGCAAAAATTATTTCCAGCTGAGAGGGGCTGGATGCATGTCATTCCAGAGCAATTGTAAACGACCCTACAGATTCGCTTGCAAAAAGCAGAATATATTTCCTCTCTGTGCACACCCCCTTTTCTTGCCTATAATGCCTGCAAAAGAAAGGTTATATGGGGCCAGACCCAAGGGGTGTCTGTCCCCGTGCCCCGTCCCCAGATCAGTGGCCAAGAGCAGATGTCTGTAGAAGAGGATAGGAATAGGGGAGTAGGTGATGCTTCTCATGTGGGTCTTATAAAGATGTTTGGCAGCTCCCCTCCTGAGGTCTAACTGTTGGGGCAGAAGGACATTAATCATTAAAAAAGCAGATATTAACACAGTCACGTTGGGGTATGTGGGATGAGCGGACCCATTTGCATTTTCCTCTCAAAGTGTTTTGATGGGAATGTTGATTACAGACAAGGTAAACTTGTTTGTACTTTATTCATTAATAACAAACTATAAAATGCCCTGCCTCCCCTCCCCACAGGCAAGGCACTTGAGGAGATGCCAGGCAATTAAAGTACTTAAAACAGTAATTACAGTCAAATATACAACAAAAATAAAATCACTGCACATGATTTTTTTTATGCTTGGTTTTGTTCTCTGCCTTTATTAAACCACAGTTCTTGCCTCACGATTGAACAGGAGTCTCTCAATTGGTGATACCAAAGTGTGCCACAAGTTTGCTTTGGTTCAGCTGGGTATTTAATAAGCTCTTTGAAGGTCTTGCTATTAAATTCTTCACAGCTCTGAAACTACTACTTTTTAGATGCGTCTTGGTGTCTAGAGCTGGTGCACTTCTTGGTCTTAGCACTGATCAGTAGGGAGGTGATACCAGTGGTCTCTTGGCACTTTTCCTTTCCTTTCTTGCTTTCTAATTTTCTTATTGTACAGGGAGTAGCATCTTTCTGGTTACTGTGATGCTTAGGAGGGGAAGACCGAAATAGGCTGACGCGTCAGTTAATAATCCATACTTGGCTTCAAATATTTAAATATTTAAATTTAGCTGATGCATTTTAAACTTCAGAGATAAGCGTCCACAAACTTGACTTGTGAACGTATTTAAGGAGTTAGTGTCCTGTGGTATAAACTTGTGTGTATGCCAGCTGAATGTATTTTTAAGTGAAATTCTTAGTGACTTCCATATTCCAGATAAAGTACACTTTAAAAAGACAGAAACTTAGCTGTAATGAGATCCAGCTGGTGTGCATAAACCTTTCACATTACATTACATAATTAAGTTGGTAAGTAATGTATGGGGAAAAGTTCTTGTAGCTTATTCTTTTGTACTGGAGTTTTACAAGGCTATATAAATACTGTAAGCATTTAATGGGGGAAATGCAGGATTAAAAGCAAACAGCAGATGACGTATGGGACAAAAATGTCATAAACTGAATGGGTAATATTACCCTTTCAGTATTTAATATTAAATGATCGAAATTTCACAGTGTTCTGAATGTCACCTGCGTTAAAATTGTTTTCATAAGAACAATTTCCAATCGATTGGTTTGATTAAGGTGACTAGTTTAAAGGTAAATTGCTTTATGCTGAACAGTATCAGAGCGTGGATTCCTTCTGAGTAATGCGTTGACCGGTCTTTTTATTTGGTAAAATCTACATCGCTGTGGTATTCAAAGCAAGGTGCAGGCTCACGGACTCCTTACGTTATCTTAACAACCTGTTCTTTTAACAAACTGTAATTACAGAAACATAAACTACATCTTCATTTATTTCAGCGGTAGAGCACGGGAGAAGAATGCGGGAAGGCGTTTGTTGTGCTGCCATCAATTTAGTTGCCTACCTTGCAGTTGTTTCGTAAACATCCTAGAAAGCTCCTGAAAATACCGAATGTGGAATGTGCCAAAAATGGTTAAAATGCAAGACTTTGTCCTCTGGCAGACAAGCCGGGGCAAATCTTAGCTTGATGTTGCTGCCCTCCTCCTTTTTGGAAGGCTTTTGCTCTCTCGCAGAGTCAGCAGAAGGCACCGTGTGCCTGTGCTTCAGCGGCTACACCAAACCTTGGGCAAGGGGTTGTAATTTTTTGGGTGCTGTCGTCGTCACCAGCAATTCGAGTTGTGGTGTTTGGTCTGTGGACTGGAACGCGGGAGGCATGGGCGTATGGTCTGTTTTGCCAGCTCTACTACGGGGGTGGTAGCCTCGGGGAGAGGAGAGGTAAAAAAAAGAGCAGTCCTAAACTGTACAGCTGTTTGC